TCCAAAGCTTCTGTCTTCATCTGGTTTATATCTATTATTAAATACAGGATTACTTCTGCATCTGTGTGTTTGAGCTCCAACTGGATATAATGTGATTCATTGTACATAGTAGGAGCTTATCCTGTTGAATCATTCTATAACCTTAGTTTTGTGTGAATCGTCTAGTTTGAACCCTAGATGAAAAAGTAATGTAGATTCTCCTTTAGAAATCTCCAGAGGGAAAGTCTCTTATTTTTCTTCCTAATAGGAGTGCTTCTATTTATGGTTCAGGATCAATTTCCTCTTTTCCTTGCCAAAGGCAGTGTTAGAACACCTTTCCCTGATTGAGTCAAAGGCTGCTGTCTGACATCCTGTTGTAAAGATTCAGCTCTCTTGTGAGCTAGGAGTTTCAGTGGATGGATTACCTTATTTGCCTGTTTCCTTGGGAAACTCTTTACCATGATAGGGATAGAATAGCAAATGCATAGACCCACCATGCCAGGACTGGAAGGAGAAACACTGTAGAAACAGTAGTTTAGAATGTTGTTGACAAACCAAATCCTTACAAAGTGACCCATGTGACTGCCTGGGGGTGGATTCTGGGGGCGCTGCTGCCACCCAGGCACATTTGGGATTCTACTTGAATATCCAGTGGCCCAGGACTTTGAGTTGCATGTGAGTGAGAGTGTCAGGTTTCCTGTAGTAAGGTCACTTCAGGGACTCTCTGCTCTCAGCCATACCCCCTAGGATACAATCTCCCAGGCTCATCTCTGACTGAGTGCACAGAATTGTCTGGGGAGGACTGTGGACCCTAGCTTAAGTCTTCATGAAAAGGGTGCTGCTGCATGTTCACCCTTTGAGCTGAACTTAGCTCTCTCCTCCATGTCTCTCATTGTCTCAAATTTAAATATGGCCGAGGGATTGCCAGGCATGTCTCAGGGCAGTGACTTTAAGAATGTGTCACATCTCAGAGGTGTTATCCCACAGGAGAGTGTGGGTTGGGGCTAAGGGAAAAATGACAGAAAGCTTCGGTGATTTCCCAAAATGTTCACACGTGCATTGGTTTGTTAACCTGAAGAGAAATGTAATGGCTGTAGGGCAAGAATTGAGTTTACTTTGGAGAATAGCTACTCTTGCACTTAAACTTCTTACCTTGATTTTTCAAGATATTCTGCAGAATAAAAAATTACAGATGTTTTTAAAAAGATGTATTTATTCTCATTGGAAATATAATTCAGATTTACAAAAAGAAGGAGAGACAAAGAGAAAGATCTTCCAGCCGCTGGTTCACTCCACATGTGGCGCAATAGCCAGAGCTCAGGCAATTCAAAACTAGGAGCCAGGAGCCTCCTCCAGGTCTGCCATGTAGCATCCCAAGAACCTGAGCTTTCCTCTGTTGCTTTCCCAGGCTATAACAGGGAGCTGGAAGGGAAGTGGGGCATCCAGGATGCACACCATGAGATGTGAGCAACACAGATGGAAATTTAGTTTTCTATGTCCAGCGCCAGATCCTAAAGTTTACAGTTTTAAAATTTCTAGTGTGGTGAGGTTTTGGTGCAGTGGGTTAAGCTACTGCTCGAGATACTATATTCCATTTCAGAGTCCTACTTTTTTCTCCATTCCAACTTCCTAATAATGAAGCAATAGATTTGGTTGCTTAAGTTCTTGGGTCCCTGCCATCCACTTGGGAGGCCTGAATTGAGTTCTGAGCTTCTAACTTCAGCCTGGTCCAGTTATAGCTGTTGTGGAGAGTGAACCAACATATGGATTATTTATGTGTCTGGTCTGCTTGGCAAATAAAATAAAACATGTGAACATGTGGAACACTGCTAATCACCTTCAGTTGCAGTGAATTCTAATCCCAGGCAACTTTTATTATTCTACAATTTAGTCAGAATTGACTGTGTGTTAAAAATAAGTCTGTTGAATGTGAGTTATGACTTTATTATGCTTAGATTTTATTTTATAATAATGTTCACTATGTTTGTTTTATATTTGAGAACTTAGGCCTTGAGGTGTGAATGTTTATTGAAACAATTCTTCATTTATAATGAACAAAGTCTGGGGCTGGTGCCATGGTATAATAGGCTAAGTCTGTGCCTGCAATTCCAGGATCCCATATGGGTACCAGTTCATATCCTGACTTCTGATCTAGCTCCTTGCCTATTTCTTGGGAAAGCAGCAGGATATGGCTCAAGTCCTTGGGGCTCTGTGCCACATGGGACACCTGAAGGAAGCTCTTGGTTCCTGGCTTTGGATGCATTCAGCTGTGGCCATTGCAGCCATTTCGGGAGTGAACAAGTGGATGGGAGATATCTCTGCTTTTGGCTCTTTCTCTGTAAATCTATCTTTCAAATGAAATAATTTTAAAAATAGCAAAAGTCCTGAGAGCGGTCTTTCTGTTTCTTTTACAATGATCTCTGCATTTTTACGGTTTTGAAGATACATTTTCTCTGGAGAGCAGTTTGTCTAAATATTCTGTGACACATGAAAGATGACTTCAGAATCTACAGAAATATGTCAGCAGAAAGTTACAGGATCTGTGGACTGTGAGGCTTAGAAGATATGAATTTCAGGGCCAGCTTCAGTGATTTGGACAATTTTTATTTCAATATTGCGTAGTGTCTACAGAGGTTATTTGCATATATAAAATTTAAATTTAAAGGTTAACTTAAATTGGTCTCATGTAATAAATAACATGTAAGTAAGAGAACCAACTTCTCATATGACGTGTACACAAAGATTCTGTGTAGAACAAAGTCATTTACTGCTCAACTGTGATAATTTTTACACTTTTGTAATGGGTTATAAAATACATACTTATTGGTGTAGCTGTGTTTTTTTATCCTGATTTTGAAACTTTTATCTTATAATCTGGAATCATTTTATAATGTATCCATCATGCTTGCAATTTAAATCATTTGTTTCTTTGCAAAAACTTTGAAGAGTCACAGAGCTTAGTGTGGAAGACTGTACCATAAGATTGAATTCTAAATACTTAGGAGTATGAGGCCAGCTTTTCCCCTAGTGTCTGTAAACTTTGGCAAGAGTTAAGAGTGTTTCTTCACAGCATTTGGGGTAGGGGTGGGAGCGATGGATGAGGGGAGGAGGGTGAAAAAGGAAAAAGTAGAACAAAAGTTTTTATAAATCATAAGGTGAATACAAATTATATCTAATTTTTCTAATCTTTTTTGCCTCAGTAACCTTAATCATTGCAGGTGGACTAACTTAAAAAGAGTCTAACAGTCAAAATAATATTAAATTTACTAATGATGGGTGAAGACATCAAAACAATTTTTACCCCAGATCTATGTATTTCCATGTGTGTATGTATAAAATAAGAAAGTAGTACTTTATCTGAGACAAATGTAGTGGACAAAGGTGAATGGATGAGTTGTTGTCACAGCTGCGGCAGGGACTAGTATATTGTTTTGGTGTGCTGGAATTCCCAGCCTTACTAGCCTGAACACTTTTGCTGTTGGATTTTCTCTTGGGCTTGTGATCTTTCATGGGGAATGGAAGATAACTGACTTAAGGGGCCATTAGTGATGAGACTAACTGATGCTGCTACTGTTGCTCATTCTATCTACAATTTTGCCAGAACTTATTGGGCATTCCAGTTTTGAGATTGTAGGAATGGTTAGATTACTGGTGGAAATATGTTATAATTGAGCAAATATTTACTAGTTGCTTAGTGTATATCCTGTCTAGCTATTCTCTCTCTCTTTTAAAAATTTTTAAATTATTTTTTATTGGCTATTTTTTCTTAATAAATGTTTCTTATTTATCTTTGTAGTACCCCCCATTAACAAAATACTATTAGTACTATTTCATTAATGAAGGATATTCTAGAGAAACTGAATGATATATTTAAAATCAGACATCCAGGGAGGTGACAGAACCTACCATGGAACCCAGATCTACCCCACACCTATGGTCATCTTCCCTTTGAGCTAGAAGGGTTGCATCCGGAGAATTGCCACAATGCAAAATCCGCCTGGGTCTTGGACCTTAAGAAAAGTTAAGTGCCCATTCAATCTCCGGCCACTCTGCATGCCGCTGGCTTTCTACTGTGCTGTGAAAGTCAGCATCAATGTGTGCGTGAGTGGAATCTGGGGCAAATGTGCTGCTGACTTTGCCAATCTTCTGGTGTCCTGGGAAGGTTCTGACCCTCAGGCACATGAGTGAATCCTAAGGGAACCTTTGGAGAGCTGTAGATTGGGAAATATGCCAAGAAGGTAGGTTTTCCTTGGATCTCAAGGACTAAGTATGTATGGAATGGTGGTCTCCAGGGTCTGTTCTTTAATGAATCCATTCTCAAGTTCATCCTTTCCTTGTTCTCTTCCTCTACTTTGGGCCTTATTGCTTTTATACTTGTCAGGCTTATTTTATGTAATAATATTGTCTTTATTAAACCTCTTTGGTGACTTCTCTGGGTGTCCATGGTTATAGTCCTACTCCTAAACATTTTTTAATGTTGTGTGCATGGACACTGTAGTGGTCTTGCCAGTTGAATGTGGTCTTTCTCCATCTCTCAGCTTTTCTTTCACACTCTCATGCTGGTTAGCAAAAGCGTCATTTCCTATCAGTCTGAAAATCTCTTCTTCTCTACCTGTACAAACCTTTTCTAATTTAGGATCTGGTTTTATTTTTCCGTCTTAAAAACGTCTTTGATTTCTCTAGCCATCCTTGATCTCTTTGGAACTTCTTTGAAATCTTGGAAACTCCTAGATAGAAGTGAGTTCTACACTTACTTGTTATTAGTGAAAACTTTCTAACTAGGCTGGAAGGCTTTAGGATCCCAGATTCTTTAATTTCTGGCACACGGTAGGTGTGAAATCACCACTTGTGGATGGGATTGTGGTCTCGATTTTGGTATCAAATACAGTACTTAAAATTCAGTAACACATTCACATTAACACCTTCCTACAAAAACCTGTGATTTTAAGTTTATTTGATATCTCATTGCTGTGTTGAAGTGTTTTGTTTTGTTTTGTTTTTTCTTCTCCTTTTCTTCCCAGCCATCAAAGAAAAGTACACAGACTGGACAGAATTTCTCATCCGTGATTTGACTGGTTCACGGACAGCACCTGCCAACCTGCTGGAAGGAGTATGTATTGCTATTATACATCTATGTTATTTCTGAAGCATCCAGTTGTGTGAAAACAGACTTAACAGCACCTTGCATATATCCTTCTGCAGATACATGCATATGCACAGTTATCTGTGCAAAGAGTCTAACTTCCTGTTTTGTCCTGGATTATTTAGGTGACTAATTCAAATGGCATTGGTATATCTTCTACTTAGATATCAACAGAAGATGGAAAATTTGCTTTGAGTGCATTTTCCCAGTAATAATTTATTAGGATCTCTTCCCAGAGTTCCTAAGGTTGAGCCATTCTCTGGTGTTAGTGAATACACTTAAAATCATGTAACTGCTTTGAGCATTTGATAACTAAATATCTGTATATGCGTTTATGTGATATAAGTAGTTTTAGTAAGCGTTCCATGTCAGATACATAAGTGCAAGATTTGAACACACCTGTGTTAACTAATCATTGAATTAACATTCCGTGTAAAAACAATGGAGGAGAAATGGCTGACCATACTTGAGTGTAGTTTCAAGCAATTTAAAGGCATTAAAGAGAAAAACAATTTTACCTGAAACGTTGATGCTTCATTTGAAAATAAGTTTGGGCTGAAGCATTTTGACACTTAGTATATATGGCAGAACAGAAAGAGAAAGGCACTGTGTTAAACGTAATTGGTGAATTGTAAGATCTGTTGCTTAAAAGTACCACTCAGAAGGGGAAAACTAAATGAGTAACGGGAAAAGGTGTGACTTTTGACCGTGTCATTATTGTCTTAACTTTCCTTCTTCTCAAAAGTATAATATTGATATTTCATAGCACCATAGTCTAACAAACAGTTATGGGTTTTGTTTTGTGAACATCTTGCCTGCTGTATATGTTATATATCTTTGTTATAGATATTAAGTTAATTGTTTGCTTAACAAATCTACATGATGATTGTTCACTCTTCCAAAGGGACAAATTGTCTTATTATGTTAATTTCTTTGAACATATTTGCCTAAGGGGCTGGCTGAACAAACATCCTTTTCATATGCTAACATATGCTAAGAAGGCTCCTTAGAAAGAGCTGTAATTGTATATTCTCTAAAACCAATTACCAGGTTAAGTGTGGAAATAACTTGGCATAATAGTCTAATTTAGCTCATCATTAATGTGTGTTAGATTTGTCATCCACATGGACTCATGCTTTGCTCCCATAATCAAAGTATGAAATGGTCTTGGTTAATAACCTAGTGACCATTGTAGAATGGATGTCAGTTCAATACTCTTGGTATAAATTTATGTCCCTGGAGTAGCTATATGTATTTGAAGAGTATAGACAATTTGCTATCGTATGGTTTTAGGTCCAGATAAACTGGATATAACTGTCCTAGGCACATTAATTTCAAACAAATGCAATTTTACCTGGGAAGGGTGATTTGTTTGGTGAGAGTTTAGCATAAACTGTTAATTTCTACTTATTTGTGATTTTGTTGTTGGATGCAGAATTGGATACATGAGTGTGTATGAGGATTCGGGTGGGCGATGGCTGTGTTATGGATGGGGGTGGAGGGAAACACCAGACTGTTTGCCAATAGCTTGGATGATGGTGTGAAAAATATTATCTTCTGCTGTCAGCTGTTTCCATGAGAACCTTAAAATAAAGTTTAAAATAAGGAGTTTTGCTTCTGTTTAAACAGCCTCTGCGAGGGAAAGGCCCTATAGACCTCATTACAGTTGATTCCTTAATAGAACTTCAGGATTCTCAGAACCCTTTTCAGTACTGGATAGTTAGTGTGATTGAAAATGTTGGAGGAAGATTACGCCTTCGCTATGTGGGATTGGAGGACACTGAATCCTATGACCAGTGGTTGTTTTACTTGGATTACAGACTTCGACCAGTTGGTTGGTGTCAAGAGAATAAATACAGAATGGACCCACCTTCAGGTAAGGGTCAAAGCTTTTGCTGGTATAAAGTGTTTTGGAAAAAAATATTTTTAAAAAGGTGATATTTTCTGGATGTATCTCTGGAGTTTATTATCACTGTGGTATCTTTTACATATGAAAATATGAGTACAAAGCCCATTAACTTCCGAATTCTTTCTACAGAGTTTTAGCAACAGTTATTTTCAGATGGGAAAGTATTGTGGGAACATTAACAAAATTGACCCAGTTCCTTTGAGAACATGGACTCAGAAATGAAAGGTGTTATAGATCAGAATTTTTGTGTGTTTTCCATTTTTTTCTTTAGGATTTCTGAGAATCTGGCAACGAAATTCCAGAACCTTCATCCATCCTTTCTTTCGTTCATCCATTCATCCATCTCTGAACTTCGTGTCATCCATTTGTTTGAAATATCCAAACCATGTGGTTATTGTTACATTAACCATTCTGACCATGACAAAATCATCGTGCATATTTTCCTGGCACATCGTAGATTTTAGCTATCTTCAAACAATTTTGCCCCATGAATGTTTGCTTTCTGACAAAAACTTCAATATTTATAGAATAATCATTCTTGAATATTTACTAGGTTTCAGGTGGTTTTGCATGTGTGCTTGTTTATTTTGATTTTAATAAAGCATTGCCTGTTTAGTGTAGTTTTGTTTCATGTTAGAGAAAATTGATACAGTGGTAAACAGTTTACCCAAGGTCAGTGAGCTCATGAGTGACAGATGCTGCAATTCAAATTCCTAAGTTGTAAATCTTTTCTACTCCATTCCCCCTGCTTTCCCATACTGCTATTACACAAACTGGTTTACTGGCTTTTGCATACTGGTCTTACCAACATTTGGATGGGAATTCTCAGAATAGAAAATATTGAATTCTTGTGGAATTAAGCTGCCAAGAAAGAAATTCTCATTGCTTTCTGAAATTGCTGATTTCTATTCCGGACAGTTTTCTGGGTGTATTTGAAGTAAAGACTTGATTCTTTATTTAGATTCAAGCCTTCTCTTTCTATGTGAGTTGCCAAGGTTAGTCTAGAGTTCCTGAAGGTGTTGGGTTCTGTTTACCTTTTCTGTTACTCAGAGGTATCAATTGAAACAGTTCCCTGATGCTGTATCCTCTGCATTTGCATCTGTGTAAAAGTTGACAGGTGTTAGGGCATGTAATATAATATTATATCACACTAGTATTATTATTGTCAACATTTTGAGAAGAAGCCAAAAAATCCTTTTATATTCTGAGTAATTGGAGACTAAGGTGAGAAACAAAGGGCCTGTCAGTGTCAGGAGAAAAGGCCAGAGTTGCTTCCGTATGCATAAGCTAGCAGGGACAGTTTACCTTATGGGAATGTTAAGTCTATAAGTCACCTTTACAAATTTTAGGAGAATCAGATACTTGCCAGCATAACAGTGGATGGCCAAAGAAAGAATTCCTGGTGATATTTGTTTCCTGAAAAATCACAGGACTCACATTCAAAAACAGGAATGAAAAAGTACCCCTATATACTCCTTTTCTCTAATTTATTTTTTTTATTGGAAAGGCAGATTTGCAAAGAGAAGGAGAGACAGAGTGAGAGATCTTCATCTGCTGGTTCACTCCCCAAGCGACCACAATGGCCAGAGCTGAGTTGATCTGAAGCCATGAGCCAGGAGCTTCTTCTGGGTCCCCCATGTGGGTAGAGGGAAACCCTGCTGGTTTCCCAGGCCAAAAGCAGGAAACTGGAAGGGAAGTGGAGCAGCTGGGATATGAACTGGCACCCATATAGGATCCCAGCACATACAAGGCGAGGACTTTAGCCACTGGGCTACTGCACCTGAACCCCCTTAGACTCTTAAAGTGTTTGCTCATCATCTCTCTTCCTCCTTAGATAATTTGGTCTTTTTATATAAGAATCAATTATGTTTTAAATTTAGAATTTTGTGGGCATGAATCATCTTTTATTAATGAGCTTTGAGGGTCTCTGAAGATTGAAATAAGTATCCATTGTTAAGAATGCAACATAGAAAATAGATTTGCTTTTGTGAAAAGAAGAGACACAGAGGAGAAGAGAGAAACAGAAACAGATGGCCACACACACACACACACACACACACACAACACAGTCAGTGTTACATCATCACTGGTTCATTCCCTAATGGTTACAATGGCCAGCACTGCAGCAGACTAAGTCAGGAGCAAGGAAAGCCCTGTTGGTCTCCCACAGGGGTGGCAGGGGCCATGTACGTGGACCATGTTCTGATGTTTTCCCAGTGCATTAGCAAGGAAGTCTTGTGAGAGGAGGAGCATCTAGGCACTCCTACATGGGATGCCAAACTTGCAAGCCATGACTTAATGTGCTGTGCCAGAACGCTGCCTTCCTTCCCCAACATTTAACCTATCAATGATAAGGTTATGTATGAGAAGAAGAAAATAGAGGCACTCATCATGTGACTTTCTGTATGCCTTTGTTCTTCATACTCAGTAGTTTCCATATGGATACTGCATTCTCCACCTCACTTAGTGGCATAACAATACTGAGATGTAAGGCAGTGTCTCTTGAGAGTTTTACACATGGGAACAGAATCTGGTATTTCAGGTTTATGTGCATTAATCCCTAATCTGTGTCTGACTTGTGCAACTTACATGGCAGCACCATTCTTGTTAATGAATTGTGAGCAGGAACAAAATGTCAGACTTATGTAGAAAGTGTCCGGCTGATATATTCATAAATACTGCTCAATCAATGAGAGCTGGTCAGCACTGATTATTGGTGAGGAGTTGGAAGGATGGTGTTAAAAGAGAGAAAATATAGCATGAATAGGCTTTTGCAATGCATGCCTGCTGATGCTAGCACATTGTTGAACAGGATCATAATTCTTAGCTTTACTTGTTCTTTTGACGGTTTTAAAGGGCAAATTGTTTCTCAACTGTCCAGAACAAATAGACAGATATAATAGAAATAGCTAATAGAAAGTAGCTGGGAGGTTAGTTTTTCACAAACTGTAGGAAAAGACACAGGGTTTTATACATGTGTAGTCATTGAGCCTTTCAGTGCGTGGTCCATGTGAGGATGCGGCGGTTTGGTGCTTGGGTTGAGAGGAAAGGAAAGAGAAGCAGCCACCTCATCCTGTGAAGTGGAGGGAAATTACACCTTTATAGGGCTGCTGAGTATATAATGTATGTCAAGTGATTGGCATTTCTTAGGCATTCAGTCTGTGACCAGAGTGTTACAGAATAGTTTGGTTTTCTAAGAAATGTAAGTAGGCCCTTAGAGGAAGGGTCACTGAAGATGACCCACTTGCTTTCCTACTTCTACATGTTTGGAAGGGAAATAATTCTTAGATAGCTTTTTAGAGCCATGAGACCTGCTAAGATTTTTTCCCCCTCTTCCCTGTTTCTAGTAAATTTTTCCTCCATTTTTCCTTTCCAAATGTCCCTTGGCTTTTGAAAAATCTATTTAAAAATTTGTTTTTGGGTAGTTCCTGGAGTCAGGGAGCTTCTGAATCTGACTTCAGTGCTTTCTGCTTAAGTGTCTCACAGTTCCAGTTCATAGTTGCTGCTTTCTGTGGAGGCGGCCCTACCAAAATGCTGCTGTCAACTCTAAGGCTTCACCTGCTGACGGGGACTTTCTCACAGTTCTGGGGGCTCATGTTTGCAATCAGAGGGGCAGCACATTTGGATTCTGGTGAAGATTAACCTCCTGATTGGTAGATGGCTGCCTTCTTCCTATGCCCTCTCCTATGTATGGACTGAGAGAGAGAGCATCCTGTTGTCTCCCTCTAGGATGATCATCTTGTGGGTAACCTGTAATCTCATTAAGCTCTAATTTCCAAACTCTTCCAGATTCTCTCCTGCCACCCCTGTGGGGTAAGTTCTAACAAAGAAATTCAGTTCATAAAAATTCCCAATGCGTACTGTCTCTTACCAGTCTCAATCTTCCTGCTGACAAGGACCTGCTGGAGAGGAGAGGAGGGGAGATTTGGGGTGAGGGAACATGCAAGAAGGGACCACTGTCTTTATTTGTGATTAGTTTATACATTCCTGCCTCCTGTGTCACTGACCATGATAAAACCTGCCAAACACTTGTGCAAGAGGCGATTGCTTCATTTTGCTTTTATGTTTCTAGTTACAAATAAGTCAGGTTGCATCCTTATTGCTTCTGATGTCCTCACCAACAGAATGTGACATGATGCCCTCTGTCAAATTATAACTGTACCACAGTTGTTTTAAGCAAATGTTTTATGTCCTTCTAAAGGTGCTGCTTGTAATCCATAAACTTGTCAGTACAACCAGAGCACCTCTCTGTTCTGACATGCACGTGGGGAGTACTGTTTGGTGGTGATGGTGACATTGTTCAGGTATTTAGCCTATTACAAGGTGGTCACACTGACTGTAGGTTTCAGCTTTACAGAGGGAGGCATGTCTCGCCTTTGGAGGATTATGTCCCAGTTTGGAAAGAAGACACAGGGCAGAGGCAGGAGTCATATGGAGACTGGGTTCCTTGGTGTGACTGTGGCTGAGCTGGAGGCCCAGGAAGGCAGCATCTCCTGGATGGAGTAGTCAGCCATAGAGATGAATCTGGCTGTGCCAGGTGTCTGGCTGGGGTCAAGAGGACATTGCCAGGTCTGCTGGGATCTGCATGTCACTGCCCAGTGTTCTTATAGTGTGACCCTGACCTGGACTGTTTTCATTTTTACCACTCGTTTACCCTCATTTCCTGTCTCATGGGTTCCCTCGCTCAGTGACCCCAGACAAGGATGTAATTCCTTGTGATTATGGACTCTATTCTTTCTGTTTCTCTCTCTCTTTGTGTCTTCAGATCCTGTCTTTAGTCTTGGCTTTGGAGATTTGCATCATTTTTCACAAGTTGGTCCTTTTGTTACATATCTGAGGTTGAACTCTCCCAGATGGCAGGAAAAGAGAACTAGTTCATGTCTGGTCATGTCCTGAGGTCTGGCCTCCTGGGTGCTGTTTCTTCCTGGCCTCCTTTGAACAGCTGCATCAGAATCCTCTGGCATTTGCACACTGTGGTCCTGTGAACTGCCTCTCTCTTCATTAAGGTCTCCAGACAGTGCCCTTGAACTTGAGCCAACAGTGCCTTCTGGGATAGCCTCACATCTCCAAGACCTGGGTCCTTTGCTTACAGAGAGGGAACTTTATGACAAATAGTACCTTCTTTTCAGTCTGAAGAAGTGTTGCCTGAAGCTCTATTGTATGCCTGAACGTGTTACATACTATTAGAAGGAATCACATTCTGTTTTTCTTCTGGCATGGAAATACTACATAGGAAAATTAAAGATTCTTCCGAGATAGCAGAGTCTACAAGAAATGCTAGCAACCAGGAAGGGTTGTAGACAATATGTACACACAGAAGTAGTTTGTTGTGACTAACCCTTTATATACAAGCAATGCCTGTGGGCAGTGTGTTGAAAATTTGACTAGTTCTGGTAAACCTTAACGTCTGCTATTATGGCCAGAAAAGCCTAAAGAATTGGCTGAAACAGAGGGAATTTGAAGCTTAAGGTCAGTTCAGAAGCTGTGAGGATGAAAATATATAGCTGCTTGCTAGCAAGCAGACGTGCAAGAAATTAAAAATACAACCCCAAAGGTTGAATGTTACCTTTAAACTGTGCTTAAATTCATATTCATATCCTAACTATCTGTCTGAAGTAGCCTGAGTTGATATAGGGAGGGTATAAGCAGATCCACTTCCTCTGAGTGCTTCAGCAAAACCCATTTTGATAAAGTCTTAAATCTGTTGAGATCAGGCCATAAAATTCCCCCGCAATTTCAGCAATAGGTGAAAACAATGATCAACATTTTTTTTTCTTTTAGTTTTGCATGCAGACTGTGTCAGCTCCATTCATAAATCTCATTTGCCCTAACCACTTGGGAAAAAATATGGGCAACATGTAGTGTTAGCAACGTTTCAAGTGTAAATAAGAGTTAGTTGCTAAATTTTAATTTACTTTTTTAATAATTTTCTGATTTATGCTGACTATTTTGGGCTTAGAAGTGCTTGGAGATTTAGTGAGAACTATGTTGTAATAACTGCAAACATCAGGCAAGAGTTGTTTGTAGTTTAGGAAGTTACCAGATAATAAGTTCTTCATCAGTCGTTTTTGCTGCCGGGGTGATATGTGGATGTGTGCGAACCATGGGTGGCTGAGTATTTTGCTTATATGATTAATACCATTAAATTACTTACAGAATACCAGCAAAATGTATACAAATGTTCCCTGAAGAAGAGTGCTATTAAGGTTATTCTTCATATCTGATAGCAGGAATCCCAAGTTGCTACTTAATTTCAGAAAATTCATTTAGCAGGTGGCCTTTATGGTGGGCACAGTAAACTTCGATGGTTCCTCAATGTGCTGACGTGGGCTGGAAGACTGGGAAGAGAAATTTCAAGAAGGAACTGTCCTGAAGATCATTTTAGTCCTTAAACTCTTATGTGCTTTGCTGTTGATACAGAAATCTATCCTTTGAAGATGACCTCTGAATGGAAATGTGCTCTGGAAAAATCCCTTATTGATGCGGCAAAGTTTCCCCTTCCAATGGAAGTGTTTAAGGTAAGATGTGAGCTCTTCTCATTTGATCTACTGTGTTCAAGTGCAACCCAGTCACAAAGTCTTAAACATCCCATCCTTTCACACTGAAGAATAAAGTTACTTTTTGGCAACTTTCCTCTTGGCATGTTACACATGATCTCCTGTGTTATGCTGTGGTTTGTTTTCCACAGTCTCAGATAAGAAGGTGCTGATGAAGCTTTTAGAGGTCATTGTTTTCCTCCAACGTCAGTTACCTTGGGGAGCTACGTGTTCACCTTCTCCCTTCCTGCCAAGGAAGCAAAACAGAGCGAGTCTCATTTTGTGTTTTGTTTGGTAAAAATGACAGCCCATGATGCTTCATGTGATTACTCAGCATTCTTGCTGGCTCGGGATGCTTGTGCTGGGCATCTGCTGAGTATCAAACCTTTTTACCAAAATGTAGGGCTTCTTGAAACCTATCTCAACTGAAACGGATTGCTGCCTCTTAACACTTTCAGACCTTTGCCTCTTCAAGGTTGGTTCTGTAGAGTGGGCTTGGAAGAAGCCATGTGGGGTCTCCCTGGTATTTTGTGAGCCCTGATTCCCCCTTACTTCCCTGACCTCCACGTTCAGGCACGCTTGATGTCCTCTGCAGTAGGTTCTAGGCTGATTCTTGGCTTTTCTGATGAGTGCTTTCATTTGGCTCTGCTGAATGTGTAGTTCCTGTTCATTAGTCTCCTTTTTGAAGCTTCCATACCACTGTTGCTGCTAAGTAAATTTGTGTCCATAAAATCTTTTGACTACCTTTTTGTTTATAGGTAGAACCAAAATTAATTTGTCTGACAACCCGGCATTGTTATTTTAAAATTTCTTGTTCTTTGGATTCCACGGTAAAATAAACCTTGTGTATCTCTCTGTGAGATGCTCAGGCTGGTGCAGGTCAGCTCTGCTTCTGCCTGTGGTCTGGTCTTGTGCAGCGTCCATCCGTGGGATACCAGATGGTAGCCACACTGGCCTTTTTACTTGCAATGCCTTGTGTATCTGAAATTCTTATTCATCCTTCAAATTCAGGCGTCAATATGCAGCAGTTTTCTAAAGGAATCTTTTCTGGAGCCCTGGCCGCTGCCCCAGCCCAGTTGAGCATGTGGCCCCAGAGGTGCCCTCACAGCGCTCCTACTGGGTTCCAGTAGGTTCCATCACAGTTGTGCATGGTCATTTGGTGATTCTTTGCATGACAATCATCTTCTTTGCCTTAATGTTGAAGCTCCAGATAAGGACCACATCTTTCTTATCCACATTGGAAATGTGATTCCTTGCCTATAGTAGCACTCCATAAATATTTGTTAAATAAATGGACTAATTGTTGAACATAATAAATGTTTTAACTCATGGTTTTAACAATTATAGATGAAATGGATATGCAAGTTTATTATTTACAACTCTGAATGCTCACACTTAAAAGGTTAATACATAAACATTAATAACCCTATTATACTTCTAATTAAAACTTAACAAATCCATTAAACATTTGTGAAGCAGTTATTCTTTGACCTGATCCTAGAATTTAATGCTTTATTTATATTTTCCAAAATGCAGTCACTTTCTGTCCTAACTTTAATTTCTTCCTGTGAGAAAGACAATTATTTTTATAGAGTACCCAAACATTATAATCTTATTTAATATTTGTTCATAAGTGCTATTTTAAGAGCAGATGTTGACTGTTACCTTGGGGCCCAACACAGGACAGGGTGGATAGCCTGGCACTTCATAAATACTACTTGGCTGCACTGACTTGCATGTATTTTTAAAGCAGGTGAGGTAATTCTGTAAAGGTTTTCTTATTGCAGTTCTATGGGAGAGGATTGGGCAGATTGTTAGCCATATTTTGTATTGAGTATATGTTTATATACTTAATTATAAGAGTATGAGAATAAGCAGTTTATTCATTTCCTAGGCTGTTGAAGTAAGTCGCTATGGACTGAGCTGGGTGGCTTGAAACAACAGAAGTGTGTTCTCCCATATTTCTGGGGCCTGGGATTTGTAACCAGGATATGGCTATGTATGACCACTCTCTTTCTGGGGCCCTTTGTGACATAAAAATTTCCTTCCTGCCTGCCTGCTTGCCTGCCTGCCTGCCTGCCTGTCTTCCTCCCTCCCCTCTTCCCTCCCTCCCTCCCTCTCTCCCTCTATTCCTTCTTTTCTTTCTTTGAAAAGTATAGTGACAGACAGAAGGGAAGACAGAGTGAGAGGATCTTCCATCCAAGGGTTTGGGTTCATTCTCCAGAAGGATTCAATGACCAGGGCTGGACCAGGCCACAGCCAAGAACCAGAAACTCCATATTGGTCTCTCATGTGGATGCAAGGGTGTCACACATCTTGATCAAGTGCTTGGGTCATCTTTGCTGCTTAAAGGCACATTAGCAAGGTACTGGATTGTTGTGGAGCAGCCATAACTTGAGCTGATACCCATATGGGATGTGAGTGTCGCAGGTGGTAGGTTAACTTGCTATACCACATTGCCTTTTTTACTATGCAGTGGTTTGTCATTCCCTGGCTTGTGGCAGTATTGCTTCAGTCTTCACCTGAATTTTTCTTCTCTGTGTATTTGTCCAAATTTATCTCTTCTTAGAGGACATTGGCCATTTGATTAAGACTCATCCTGGCTAAGCATGACCTCATCTTGACTCCACTGCATCCACAATGACCCTACATCCAAATGAAGTGACCTTTATGAGTTCAGGTAGATAGGGTTTCGTACAGGACACTCTTCAACCCAGTGCTACCATGTTGCATGTGTGTTTGATAATCTATGGAGTAAATACTATAGTTTTACTGAGAATTTCTCCACTTTAGAGAAATAACATGGGCATAGGGAAGGAGAATCAAAATATCTTACCAGGTGCTTCATTTATCTTTAAAAAAAAACAAGAAATTTTCTCTCTAAATTTGAATTCAAGCAAGTGATATTGCCTTGCAGAGTTCAAAGAAAGAGCTCTCTCTGTCACACACACACAGTGGTTTTTCTCTCTTAGCACTGTTTGTTCCTCACACACACACAGTGGTTTTTCCCTCTTAGCACTGTTTGTTCATCACTGTTTCATAGCAGCAGACTTATTTCTAGTTTCTTTCATTATGGAATATATGCCCTAATTCAGCAGTGAATCACCCTGAGATGCATTTTATTATAGAAATAGCCACAATGTTTGCTATTACAAGACAGAAGTCAAAGTGAACATTTAGTGGCCAGAGATGAGCATATTTCCAAGCAATTTTTTTTTATTATTTTTGCACTTTAGACAAAATGAGTGCTTTGATGGAATGAATTTCATTATGTGGTTTCTCACTTTGGGGGATGTGTCTACCACCTGTGTTGTTGGTGGTGTGTGTCCATGTCTATGCATGCAGTTGGATCAAGCTCATGTTTGGTTTTCCTGACTTGAATTCCAACAGAAGAACTACAAAAATAAGTCTTGCCTATTTTGTTGTTTGCTCGTTACTTGAGTAGCATTTTGATATTGTAGTTCACTGGAAATCTAATTTAATTTGGAAAATAAATATAATATTCAATGCATATACGTTGTTGAAAGATAAGTAATCAATGAAATGATTAAAAAGTTGGGGGGAAAGCTGTTGGAGGTATGTGTCTGACCTGGTAGTCAAGGCACCAGTTCAGACACTTCTCTCCTACATTTGAGTACCTGTAGTTGACTCCCAGCTCCATCCTGATTCCACTTACCTTCCCTCTGGAAGCAGCAATGTTGACATCAAGTAGCTGAATTTACCACTCACTTGGGAAGCTTGTATTGAGTGTGTGGCTCCTGGTTTTGGTCTTGGCCCAGTCCTGGCAACGGTGACTATTTGAGGGGTGAAGCAGTGGGTAAGCACTGTCTGTCTATGTCTCAAGAAGCAGAGGGAAATTTGAAATTTCATTTATTTGAAAATTAATGAAAATTTCTTTCCTGAAAATCAGCCTCATTATTTAGAGTTACAGTGATTCCTCAAACTTTTTATATCTTAACATTAACTTGTCAAAAATAATCCTGATAGGCAGGTGATTATACTGTACACCTTTGGATTTTAGGTTAGGTCTGCCTGCATCACACATCTGGGTAATTGTCAGCTTTCAGGAGGAAAACAAATCTGATTTGTAAGAATCAACTTAGAAAGATAGCTTAACAAATAGATAAAAGCTTATTCACTACTGTAGTATTTATCTGTTTTTGCAACCTCTGCAAGCTGTCACCATTAACTTCAACTGTCAACCAAAGAAAAATGTCCCAATTTCAGTAAAAGCTTTTCATCTTATCATCACAGAGTAGCATTAGAATAGGTATGCCTGAGTTTGTTTCTGCCATAGAACGGCAAAATTATCACAGTATTGATTCAGTGTTTGGGGCCCGTGAAGCCTTTCCTATCCCCCAATGAAAAGACCAATGTCTGCCTAGATGTGATTAAATGCTATCTGGGGATATTAGATATTTCCAAAAAAGGAGGTTAGAAATGACTGTTGATTCTTAGCATAATGCTGCATGTGGCCTACATTCATGCGGCTTCTGTAATTAGTGTTGCTTTTCATTCTCTTCAGGTCTTGTAAATTTTACTTTACATCTGTGATCCCACTGGTTTGCACATGTGGAAATTAGAGAAGCTTCACTCACAAGTCATATATCCATCAAAAAGCTGTACACAGAAGAAACAGCAGTTCCCAATTTTCCAGTTCGTGGAAATGAAGTGTCTTTTCCTTAGAGGAATGCGAAACTACAGCCTGGGGAGCACAAGTGTTCTCCTGCTAACTTTATTCATGACCACACTTTAGAGTAGTAAGGGAAAACACATTTAAAATGTTGTTAACATATGTGATCCATTTTATCCAATAAAGAAGGAAAAATTGCCAGATCCTTTTATTTTCATTGAGTAGATGTTAAAAATCTCAGAGTATTTAACATTCTGAATAAACTCCTTAGAGATTTGCAGTAGAGTGAAGGGATTTACAGTTAAAGACAATCAAGCTCAGTGCCTATATCCTCCTTACATTTCTGTGT